CACACACACACACACACACACACACACACACACACACACACACACACACACAATTTAGTTCATGGTGCATAAAAAAACACACCATGATATGAAAACTAACTGAAACCCTCAAAGAGCCGACAGACTTCACCTCAGACTCCTGGTGAAACTGCAGCAGAGACTTCAGTCTGGCAGAAGTTTGGAGTTTATGCGCCTCCTCCTCCTCCTCCTCATCAACTTCATCCTGAGAATCAGATGTACGAGCTCCAGAGCTGAGAAGCCTGAGAGCGACGGACGATATCCAGGTAAACATGAATTAAACATTTTTTTGTTTGTTTAGTTTTTTGATATTCTGTAAACTCACCTCAAGTAGAGCAGCTCCCCTGCGGCGGCTGCTAGCGGTCGCTGTGAGGAGTAAACGAACTGGAGCAGCTGCTTGTAGTCGTCTGGACTCAGCACATCATCACATGTTCTGCAAAATCACTACTAGTTATGGAAATAGCGGGAAAACATGAAGGATGAATGGAAAATAAAGGATCAGAACAACAAACATGTTGGTGACTGACTTGGAGATGAGAAGCAGCAGCTTCATGGTCTGCACGGACACTTCATTGTCCTTATCCAGCGTCATGGAGATCATCCGCTCCTAAAACACACACAGTAAACACAGGAGCATATTTATGTTTGACCCTCATTCATCAAGGTTTCTGATCCATGGACTGACTATAAACATGAACATGTAACTTGTGCTCTTTAAGCTTTGTAGCCTATTCTGGTTTTTAATTTTGTATGTACATGCATTGAATGAAAAGAGGCAGATGTTTTAGTTGGACTAATAAAGGATTATCTTATTGTGGCGGCGGGGTGTGGTTAGGGCGCCAGCTGCTGGACGACAGGGAGGAGTGGCTCAGCTGCACAGAATCAGGTAATCAGTCAGTCAATGAGAGCATGCTGGTAACCCGGTGCTGGTCTTGCAGTAGGCTGGGTTCTTGAAGCCGGAGCAGACGCCAGTACCTGTGGGTCCGGAGAGCCAAGTGTATGTATTCGTCTGAAAAGGCTTTAAACCCAATAAAAGGACTGTGAAACACCATTCTCTCCTCCTGTCTTCTAATCCTACAGCGGCGCCTGAACAGGGACAGAGAGGATGGAAGGACAGTGCTGGGACTGAACCTCCAGCACCTCATAGCGACGCAAGAGAAAGCACCAGACGCAGGCCCTCGCCGACATCGCAGCGTTTCAGTGTGAGGACCGGGCTCTCCTGTGGGAGCTGATGCAGCGTCCGGCCACCCCCCGAGACGAGCCAGGGACAAGCTCCAGCCGGCCGCTGCCGGTGGCCCTCCAGAGAATGACCCGGGAGGACGACACGGAGGCATCGTGGGTGAAGGTGAGGTGTGTGTATGGGGATGTTCATGAATACCCAGTAGTGACTGCTATTTGCATATAAGGGGAAAAAACATAGAGTCAAGGCTGGGGTGAGGTTCCGTCTCACGCACCCCCTGATTTTGGGCACAGGTTGTCCGGGGTTCTGGGGGCAGGCGAGAGCGGCGGTGGGGGTGCGTTCACATGCGGTAGGGAGATGTGAGTTGTGTGCTGTGTTCACCGGGGAAACGGAGCGCGACACTGTCGAGGGGGTGGTGGGAGTAGAGGAGGTTCTGGTCTTGTTTTATCCCCCCCCCCCCCCCCCCCCCCACTTTAAGCAGGTTCAGTTACCTTGAAGCGGCTGGTGAACAGGTCAAGTTTGGGGAGAAGCAGAGGATCTCCAAACAAACCCTGCAAACTTAA